GATCATTATTTTGAGGGTCGATATTGAAATCCGTTTGAATCATCAATCAAAGAACTATATATTTATTCAGTTCTCTTCCCTCAATCTAGAGTAGTTGTAACCTCTATTTTTATGTGTAAAAGATAAGTGTGATGCTGTTTAGCGTGTCCTCTTCTTTTAGACTGGGCTCGGCATCTTGGTTGTGGCAGTACCTTCGAAGAAGTGGGCACAATGGCTTTTTTCTGCCGTTGAGTGGCGGTAAAGACAGTTCTGCCGTTGCTTGTATCGTCTCCACTTTGTGCGGGTTGTTGTGTCAGGCAGTTAACCTTGGTGGTAAGTAACAACTTTCAGTGTAAATGATATTCTACTGTGACTTTATTTAAGTAATAAATTTTCAGTTTTCATTGCTGTTCGTTAGAACGGTCTCTTGCAAATCATGAATGGCATTTCAGGAGCTGATGCTTCCTATATGCTATCGTAAAAACTTCGACGTATGGTTTCATAGGCTTGAGCATGTTATTCGGTGTCCTACTCTTGTGAGACTAGATTTTTTTATAGCCTTGAGAAAAGTTGTAATTATACAGCAGAAGTAAGTTTCGGCTGAAAGTTACGTGCTTGATATTACAGAGTTTTCATATTTTATGCTTTCAGTTGTATGTACTCCTTGTTACTAATTGAATATACTTCAAAATTTCTTTGGTATATAGTTCGTAGTTCTACCATTTAGGGTTTCTTCTTTATATAGTCCCGCCTTGTTCCTCGTAGGTATTGAGGGTCATTTTTCTTAGGTCAGGGTTCGTGGTTAACGGTAAAAATTACTTGTGGTGCATCCCGGAACAAGCCTGTCGATCACCACTGATGCATTAGATATGTTAAAAGGAACAAATGCCAACGAGCTGTTATTAGGCATTTATATATAATGTTTGTTAAATAAGATTTCAACTAAGTGCATTATCAGTTATCATAACCTCGTTTCTGATGTGATAGCGCGAAGTGCAACATGTAAGATCATCAGCTGACTTCGAAAACTCTTTTTTATTCTTATTTAGAAAGTGATGTACTGAATGATATACGTCGAATCGTTGACGACCCCTCATATTCGCCGCAAGACGCCCGGGAACTTTGCAATCGTCTGTTCGTGACCTGTTACCTTGCGACGGAAAATTCTTCTTCCATAAGTCAAGCAAATTCTTCGGCTCTCGCTGCCGACATTGGAAGGTAATATATTTTCATTGACTGATGCGTGATCATGTTCATGAATGTTTTATTAATAAGTATTAGTGCAAGCCCATGATTATCGACATTGTTTTCGATGAATGGATTACAGTAACAACACCTTTTCAAACGATGACGACAGTTCGCATAATTGTGTAGGCAGTATTATTAATCTGACGCTTTCTAGGGGCTTAGCTTCTTACCTAGTCGGTTGCCCCAATTATCTAGTGAGATTGGAGAATGGAAAGAATCGAGGTTGCGGATCGACTGCTCGGAGCGTCGAACGCATAATCGGCAAATTTTACCATTCTATATTCAGGTATAAATTCTAATATCCCGAATACTACTCTCAGGAGAAACAACACCTAAATTATTTACTTACATGAATTTGCTCTGAAAGGTATACAGTTACTTATGTAAGGTGTTTATCGGTCAAGAGAGACCGTCGTGACTCAGTGAGTTGTGCACCCCACTTGCATTCGAACGACCATTGATTCTTATTCAGTGAGTCGATCATATTTTGTCCTTTTAAGATAAATACAGGAGCTCGACAGTGTAAGAATGAAGTATGAGATTATATGCTATAGGATCATTAAGCCTCTACCGCTTTCAACAACAAACAGGGCGCATTTGGCCGGTGGTACCATAACATTATCATCGCACTATAAGTTCTGTTTTGAAACTGAGAGTGGCACACCAGTGACTCATCTTAGAAGTAAGCGCTCAACTGAAACCTCGATTGTTATGACTTTTACTTCTTACGCAAGTTTTCTGCTCATTGTTATAAATATCGTGTCAAACCTTAGTAGTACTAGTAAATTGAATAGCACGATAGTGAATGATAATTAACACAACATGAAGTTTTCAAATCCATTGAATGACTGCATAAAGAAGATTGGACGCTGCTGAACACTTTGATGAAAAACCATCGTTTCGTTCAGCACATACTATATCCTTCAAAGCATACACGGTGTGTCTTATTTGTAATTACTGAAATGATTGACGTTTTAGAGATGAGTGGTGAAGATTGGATAGTTATAAACACAATCAGAAGGCCGATGTTAGAAGCTTTTAATTACTTTTGCTCATAATATTTGATCCAAACAACACTCACCGTCCTCAAGGTTAAAAATATTGTCCTTTGATCCAAAGAGGCGGCTTCTTTAATAATCTTTTCAACTCTTGTTCTTAGTGCCGTGCAGAGTTGGATTTAAACTTGAATGACTTAACGTGATAAGCAGTACTAATTTTCTCTGCGTCACTCCCTCACCCTATCGACGTATGTAAATGTATTAATAATGAACATTTGTATTTTCAGTCATCACTTGAATATCAACATCAATAGCGCTGTGAAAGCCGTTTTGGACATTTTCACTGGTGCCTTCAATAAGCTACCTCGGTTCCGCTGTCATGGCGGAGAAAGTCGTGAAAATTTGGCATTACAGAATGTTCAGGCGAGACTGCGTATGGTAATCACTTATCTGTTTGCTCAGTTGACCCTCTGGGCACAGTCACGTAGCGGTTCTTTGCTTGTGCTTGGATCAGCAAATTGCGATGAATCGTAAGTTAACAGTTTATACATTTGACAAAGGTTTGCTGTCATTGTTATCGTTGCTCGCTATTGGCAGATCGATTTTCTGCTTTGTAATTTTTTTGCCGTAAAGTTAAATTAATTTCAGCTTACTCGGTTACATGACCAAATACGATTGTTCATCTGCTGACGTGAATCCTATCGGATATTTCAGCAAGAAACAGCTTACTTCCTACCTCCAGTTTTGCGAAATTAAATACGAATATGAAAGTCTCAAGCGGTAAATTAAACTTTAGATCTTTT